TGAGTAGATTTAAACCAATATTTAGCTTTTCTGTGTCACTAAACCTGCTACAGTCAACGGGGTCTTTATGAGTAGATTTACACCAATATTTAGCTAAACCTGTTACAGTCAGTCTCCATGACAACGGGGCCCAGACCCGGCGGTCCAGACCTGAGTTTCTCCATCAGCAGGCCGATCTGGCTCTGCAGCAGGTCCCTTCCCTCCCGGGTCTGGGCCTCCTCCCTCCGGAGCTCTGAGGAGACCCGGTCCCGCCGGGCCCCCCCCCCCCCGGGGGCCCCCGGGGGCCCCCCCCCCCCCCCGGGGGCCTCCGGGGGCGCCCCCCCGCTCAGCGCCACGCAGCCCGTCATCAGCTGGACGTACAGCTGCCGCTCCTGAAGGCACCGCTGGGACACCAAACGCACCTGAACACACCACACCCCCGCAGACCCTCAGAAACTCTCCAGACAGGTGTGTTTTAGACTTAGACTTAGACTCAAACATAGACATAGACATAGACATAGACATAGACATAGACATAGACATAGACTTAGACTTAGACTTAGACTTAGACTTAGACTTAGACTTAGACTTAGACTTGGACATGGACATGGACATGGACATAAACATACAGGACTGTCTCAGAAAATGTGAATATTGTGATAAAGTTCTTTATTTTCTGTCATGCCATTAAAAATCATGAAATGTCATACATTCTGGATTCATTACAAATCAAATGAAATATCGCAAGACTTTTATTGTTTTAATATCGCTGATTATGGCGTACAGCTGAAGAAAACTAAAAAATCCAATATTCTAATATTTTGAGATAGGATATTTGGGTTTCTTGAGCTGTAAGCCATAATCAGCGATATTAAAACAATAAAAGTATTAAAACAATAAAAGGCTTGCGATATTTCAGTTGATTTGTAATGAATCCAGAATGTATGACATTTCATGTTTTTTAATTGCATTACATAAAAAAAGAACTTTATCACAATATTCTAATTTTCTGAAACAGTCCTGTAGACTTAGACATAGACTTAGACTTAGACTTAGACTTAGATATAGACATAGACATAGACACAGACATAGACATAGACATAGACTTAGATTTAGCAAAGACTTAGACATAGACATAGACTTAGAATTAGACTTAGACATAGACTTAGATATAGACATAGACATAGACTTAGACTTAGACATAGACTTAGACTTAGACTTAGACTTAGACTTAGACTTAGACTTAGAC